AGGTGTGACCAAGTGTGACCAGGTGTGACTAGGTGTGACCAGGTGAGACCAGGTGGGACCAGGTGTGACCAGGTGAGACCAGGTGCGACCAGGTGTGACCAGGTGAGACTAAGTGTGACCAGGTGTGACCAGGTGCGACCAGGTGAGACCAGGTGGGACCAGGTGTGACCAGGTGAGACCAGGTGCGACCAGGTGTGACCAGGTGAGACCAGGTGAGACCAGGTGGGACCAGGTGGGACCAGGTGTGACCAAGTGTGACCAGGTGAGACCAAGTGTGACTAGGTGAGACCAGGTGTGCCCAGGTGTGACCACGAGAAACCAGGTGTGACCAGGTGTGACCAGGTGGGACCAGGTGGGACCAGGTGGGACTAGGTGGGACCAGGTGGGACCAGGTGTGACCAAGTGTGACCAGGTGAGACCAGGTGTGACCAGGTGAGACCAGGTGTGACAAAGTGTGACCAGGTGAGACCAGGTGTGACCAGGTGTGACCAAGTGTGACCAGGTGAGACCAGGTGTGACCAGGTGTGACCAGGTGTGACCAGGTGTGACCAGGTGAGACCACCAGGTGAGACCAGGTGAGACCAACTGTGACCAGGTGAGACCAGGTGGGACCAGTTGTGACCAGGTGAGACCAGGTGCGACCAGGTGTGACCAGGTGTGACCAAGTGTGACCAGGTGTGACTAGGTGTGACCAGGTGAGACCAGGTGGGACCAGGTGTGACCAGGTGAGACCAGGTGCGACCAGGTGTGACCAGGTGAGACTAAGTGTGACCAGGTGTGACCAGGTGCGACCAGGTGAGACCAGGTGGGACCAGGTGTGACCAGGTGAGACCAGGTGCGACCAGGTGTGACCAGGTGAGACCAGGTGAGACCAGGTGGGACCAGGTGGGACCAGGTGTGACCAAGTGTGACCAGGTGAGACCAAGTGTGACTAGGTGAGACCAGGTGTGCCTAGGTGTGACCACGAGAAACCAGGTGTGACCAGGTGTGACCAGGTGGGACCAGGTGAGACCAGGTGGGACCAGGTGGGACCAGGTGGGACCAGGTGTGACCAAGTGTGACCAGGTGAGACCAGGTGTGACCAGGTGAGACCAGGTGTGACAAAGTGTGACCAGGTGAGACCAGGTGTGACCAGGTGTGACCAAGTGTGACCAGGTGAGACCAGGTGTGACCAGGTGTGACCAGGTGTGACCAGGTGTGACCAGGTGAGACCACCAGGTGAGACCAGGTGAGACCAACTGTGACCAGGTGAGACCAGGTGAGACCACCAGGTGAGACCAGGTGTGACCAGGTGAGACCAGGTGTGACCAGATGAGACCAGGTGTGACCAGGTGAGACCAGGTGTGACGAAGTGTGACCAGGTGAGACTAGGTGGGACCAGGTGGGACCGGGTGTGACCAAGTGTGACCAAGTGTGACCAGGTGAGACCAGGTGGGACCAGGTGAGACCAGGTGAGACCAGGTGGGATGGGGTGAGACCAGGTGAGACCAGGTGAGACCACCAGGTGAGACTAGGTCGGACCAGGTGAGACCAGGTGAGACCAGGTGAGACCAGGTGTGACCAGGTGAGACGAGGTGTGACCAGGTGAGACCAGGTGTGACCAGGTTAGATGAGGTGTGACCAGGTGTGATGAGGTCATGTGAGACTAGGGGAGACCAGGTGAGACTTGGTGAGACCAGGTGGGACCAGGTGAGACCAGGTGAGACCAGGTGGGACCACCAGGTGAGACCAGGTTAGACCACCAGGTGAGACCAGGTTAGACCAGGTGAGACCAGGTGGGACCAGCTGAGACCAGGTGAGACCAGGTGAAAAGAGACCAGGTGATACCAGGTGAGACCTGGTGGGACCAGGTGGGACCAGGTGAGACCAGGTGCGACCAAGTGAGACCAGGTGAGACCAGGTGGGACCAGGTGGGACCAGGTGAGACCAGGTGAGACCAGGTGGGACCAGGTGGGACCAGGTGAGACCAGGTGTCACCAGGTGTGACCAGGTGGGACCAGGTGAGACCAGGTGTGACTAGGTGGAACCAGGTGGGACCAGGTGGGACCAGGTGTGACCAGGTGGGACCAGGTGGGACCGGGTGAGACCAGGTGTGACCAGGTGTGACCAGGTGTGACCAGGTGTGACCAGGTCAGACCAGGTGAGACTAGGTGGGACCAGGTGTGACCAGGTGAGACCAGGTGCAACCAGGTGAGACCAGGTGTGACCAGGCGAGACTAGGTGAGACCAGGCGTGACCAGGTGGGACCAGGTGAGACCAGGTGGGACCAGGTGGGACCAAGTGAGACCAAGTGTGACCAGGTGTGACCAGGTGTGACCAAGTGGGAACAGGTGGGACCATGTGTGACCAAGTGTGACCAGGTGTGACCACGTGAGACCAGGTGTGACCAGGTGAGACCAGGTGAGACCAGGTGGGACCAGGTGTGACCAGGTGAGACCAGGTGCGACCAGGTGAGACCAGGTGTGACCAGGTGAGACCAAGTGAGACCAAGTGTGACCAGGTGTGACCAGGTGTGACCAAGTGGGAACAGGTGGGACCATGTGTGACCAAGTGTGACCAGGTGTGACCACGTGAGACCAGGTGTGACCAGGTGAGACCAGGTGAGACCAGGTGGGACCAGGTGTGACCAGGTGAGACCAGGTGCGACCAGGTGAGACCAGGTGTGACCAGGTGTGACCAGGTGTGACCAAGTGTGACCAGGTGTGACCAGGTGTGAACAGGTGAGACCAGGTGCGACCAGGTGTGACCAGGTGAGACCAAGTGTGACCAGGTGTGACCAGGTGCGACCAGGTGTGACCAGGTGAGACCAAGTGTGACCAGGTGTGACCAGGTGCGACCATGTGAGATCAGGTGGGACCAGGTGTGACCAAGTGAGACCAGGTGCGATCAGGTGTGACCAGGTGAGACCAGGTGAGACCAGGTGGGACCAGGTGGGACCAGCTGTGACCAAGTGTGACCGGGTGAGACCAAGTGTGACCAGGTGAGACCAGGTGTGCCCAAGTGTGACCCGGAGAGACCAGGTGTGACCAGGTGGGACCAGGTGGGACCAGGTGGGACCAGGTGTGACCAAGTGTGACCTGGTGAGACCAGGTGTGACCAGGTGAGACCAGGTGGGACCAGGTGAGACCAGGTGTGACCAAGTGTGACTAGGTGAGACCAGGTGTGACAAGGTGTGACCAAGTGTAACCAGGTGAGACCAGGTGTGACCAGGTGTGACCAGGTGTGACCAGGTGTGACCAGGTGAGACCAGGTGAGACCACCAGGTGAGACCAGGTGTCACCAGGTGAGGCCGGGTGTGACCAGATGAGACCAGGTGTGACCAGGTGAGACCAGGTGTGACCAGGTGAAACCAGGTGGGACCAGGTGGGACCAGGTGTGACCAGGTGTGACCAGGTGTGACTAGGTGTCACCAGGTGAGACCAGGTGAGACCAGGTGGGACCAGGTGTGACCAGGTGAGACCAGGTGCGACCAGGTGAGACCAGGTGTGACCAGGCGAGACCAGGTGAGACCAGGTGTGACCAGGTGGGACCAGGTGAGACCAGGTGGGACCAGGTGGGACCAAGTGGGACCAAGTGTGACCAGGTGAGACCAGGTGAGACCAAGTGTGACCAGGTGTGACTAGGTGTGACCAAGTGGGACCAGGTGGGACAAGGTGTGACCAAGTGTGACCAGGTGTTGTTGGTGCAACCCTACGGTTTGGGCAGCAGAGGGGTGCAGCTGATTTGAGCGAGGGGGAGATGCTCTTGACTTGCTACAGCGATGCTAGCTTCAACTCTGTGAAGACGGATGGCACCAGCATTGGAGGCTATGTGTGCCTATTTGGAAGTGGTGCAGTGAGCTGGTGCAGCAAGAAGCAGAATGAGGTGGGGCAGTCCTCATGTGAGACAGAGTACATGGCCCTGCATCACGGGGCAAAGGAGGTGGTGTGGCTGAGGCGTTTGTTGGAGGAGATTGGAGTTGGTCAGAGGGAGCTGACTGCGATGTTCTGTGACAATGAGTCGGCAGTGAAGCTTGCCAAGAACGCCTGCCTTCATGGGCTGACAAAGCACATCAGGCCCAAGTGGCACTGGGTGAGGAGGCTCCTGGACAAGGAGGTGCGGCTGGAGATTGTGAAGACCCATCAGCAGGCGGCTGACATTCTTACCAAGCGCCTGGCCGAACCTGAGCATTGGAAGGGCATGAAGCTTGCTGGGATGAGTGTGCATTGAGGGTGCATGCTTGAGCTATGGCATGTGGGATGATGGTAGGCAGCCAGAGGGGGAGTTTGTTGTGTGATGCTATCATTTGCATTCACGTCTGTCTGCCTCCCACTATATGTTTTGTGCATTGCATGCGTGGTGTGAGCGTGCGCAAGAATAGTGTTTGGTGTGGTTTGGATTTTCTGAGTGCGTGTGAATGTCATTTGGCTTGGGCAGATATCTGAAGTGACTCATCTGCTCAAGAGCTTTCCGACGAACCAAGAATCGTCGCGATCGGAGCAAGAACGACGAAGTTATGTTCGTTCAAAGTTTTGATTGGGATGCGACGACTTTGGGAAGTTTGTTGAGTGACTCAATATGGGGTACAGACTTTTGGGGGTTGGCAAATTCGTCTTTTCTACTGTAGATGCTGCCAAGTGTTTGGGAGAAACCAAATTGGGTTGGCAAGTGTGGCCAACTTGGGTGAGGTGGATTGTGGAGGTTGGGAAAGTGACAAATGTCAAACTTGGGGTGCCTATAGATAGGGGAATTGTGTGGCATGGGGTTTCCTTGGTTGGGGACTCCCCTGGGACCTTCCCTCTCGTCCTCCTCATCCCCTCCTACCTGGTTTCTAGCCATTCTAACTTTCTTGTGTGGAAATTGTGAGACTCTTGTGATTGAGTTAAGATTCTTTGGCAGCATACCCCCTTGTGCGCCGAAATTGATAAGTCGCGATATACTTCACCTCTTGATACGATTCAACTTGGGAATTGTAGCTACGCTCTAGAGCTACAACATTTCCAAAATTGGTGAAGTTTTAAATGTGCGTTTGTCGTTGACGGCGTTTCTTGTGAGCGCGACTTTTCTGTCCAGGATTGTAGTTGACGATTTTGAGATATTTCGGCCCCTAATCTTCATAGACTCCGTCCTCGTCTCTAACACTTTCCATCACCCTGCCCCATTCTCCCGCTTTCCATCACCCCGCCCCATTCTCCCGCTTTCCATCACCCCGCCCCATTCTCCCGCTTTCCATCACCCCGCCCCGTTCTCCCGCTTTCCATCACCCCGCCCCATTCTCCCTCCTTCCATCACCCCGCCCCATTCTCCCGCTTTCCATCACCCCGCCCCATTCTCCCGCTTTCCATCACCCCGCCCCATTCTCCCGCTTTCCATCACCCCGCCCCATTCTCCCGCTTTCCATCACCCCGCCCCATTCTCCCGCTTTCCATCACCCCGCCCCATTCTCCCGCTTTCCATCACCCCGCCCCATTCTCCCGCTTTCCATCACCCCGCCCCATTCTCCCTCCTTCCATCACCCCGCCCCATTCTCCCTCCTTCCATCACCCCGCCCCGTTCTCCCTCCTTCCATCACCCCGCCCCGTTCTCCCTCCTTCCATCACCCCGCCCCGTTCTCCCGCTTTCCATCACCCCGCCCCGTTCTCCCAATTTCCATCACCCCGCCCCATTCTCCCGCTTTCCATCACCCCGCCCCATTCTCCCGCTTTCCATCACCCCGCCCCATTCTCCCGCGTTCCATCACCCCGCCCCATTCTCCCTCCTTCCATCACCCCGCTCCATTCTCCCGCTTTCCATCACCCCGCCCATTCTCCCGCTTTCCATCACCCCGCCCCATTCTCCCGCTTTCCATCACCCCGCCCCATTGTCCCGCTTTCCATCACCCCGCCCCATTGTCCCGCTTTCCATCACCCCGCCCCATTGTCCCGCTTTCCATCACCCCGCCCCATTGTCCCGCTTTCCATCACCCCGCCCCGTTGTCCCGCTTTCCATCACCCCGCCCCGTTGTCCCGCTTTCCATCACCCCGCCCCGTTGTCCCGCTTTCCATCACCCCGCCCCGTTGTCCCGCTTTCCATCACCCCGCCCCGTTGTCCCGCTTTCCATCACCCCGCCCCGTTCTCCCGCTTTCCATCACCCCGCCCCGTTGTCCCGCTTTCCATCACCCCGCCCCGTTGTCCCGCTTTCCATCACCCCGCCCCGTTCTCCCGCTTTCCATCACCCCGCCCCGTTCTCCCGCTTTCCATCACCCCGCCCCGTTCTCCCGCTTTCCATCACCCCGCCCCATTCTCCCGCTTTCCATCACCGCGCCCCATTCTCCCGCTTTCCATCACCGCCCCCCATTCTCCCGCTTTCCGTCACCCCGCCCCATTCTCCCGCTTTCCATCACCCCGCCCCATTCTCCCTCCTTCCATCACCCCGCCCCATTCTCCCGCTTTCCATCACCCCGCCCCATTCTCCCTCGTTCCATCACCCCGCCCCATTCTCCCGCTTTCCGTCACCCCGCCCCATTCTCCCTCCTTCCACCACCCCACCCCATTCTCCCGCTTTCCATCACCCCGCCCCATTCTCCCTCCTTCTATCACCCCGCCCCATTATCCCGCTTTCCATCACCCCGCCCCATTCTCCCTCCTTCCATCACCCCGCCCCATTCTCCCTCTTTCCATCACCCCGCCCCATTCTCCCTCCTTCCATCACCCCGCCCCATTCTCCCTCCTTCCATCACCCCGCCCCGTTCTCCCTCCTTCCATCACCCCGCCCCGTTCTCCCGCTTTCCATCACCCCGCCCCATTCTCCCGCTTTCCATCACCCCGCCCCATTCTCCCGCTTTCCATCACCCCGCCCCATTCTCCCGCGTTCCATCACCCCGCCCCATTCTCCCTCCTTCCATCACCCCGCCCCATTCTCCCGCTTTCCATCACCCCGCCCCATTCTCCCGCTTTCCATCACCCCGCCCCATTCTCCTGCTTTCCATCACCCCGCCCCATTCTCCCGCTTTCCATCACCCCGCCCCATTCTCCCGCTTTCCATCACCCCGCCCCATTGTCCCGCTTTCCATCACCCCGCCCCGTTGTCCCGCTTTCCATCACCCCGCCCCGTTCTCCCGCTTTCCATCACCCCGCCCCGTTCTTCCGCTTTCCATCACCCCGCCCCGTTCTCCCGCTTTCCATCACCCCGCCCCGTTCTCCCGCTTTCCATCACCCCGCCCCATTCTCCCGTTTTCCATCACCGCGCCCCATTCTCCCGCTTTCCATCACCGCGCCCCATTCTCCCGCTTTCCATCACCCCCCCCCATTCTCCCGCTTTCCATCACCCCGCCCCATTCTCCCGCTTTCCATCACCCCGCCCCATTCTCCCTCCTTCCATCACCCCGCCCCATTCTCCCGCTTTCCATCACCCCGCCCCATTCTCCCTCGTTCCATCACCCCGCCCCATTCTCCCGCTTTCCGTCACCCCGCCCCATTCTCCCTCCTTCCACCACCCCGCCCCATTCTCCCGCTTTCCATCACCCCGCCCCATTCTCCCTCCTTCTATCACCCCGCCCCATTATCCCGCTTCCCATCACCCCGCCCCATTCTCCCGTTTTCCATCACCCCGCCCCATTCTCCCTCCTTCCATCACCCCGCCCCATTCTCCCTCCTTCCATAACCCCGCCCCATTCTCCCGCTTTCCATCACCCTGCCCCATTCTCCCGCTTTCCATCACCCCGCCCCATTCTCCCGCTTTCCATCACCCCGCCCCATTCTCCCTCCTTCCATCACCCCGCCCCATTCTCCCGCTTTCCATCACCCCGCCCCATTCTCCTGCTTTCCATCACCCCGCCCCATTCTCCCTCCTTCCATTACCCCGCCCCATTTTCCCGCTTTCCATCACCCCGCCCCATTCTCCCTCTTTCCATCACCCCGCCCCATTCTCCCTCCTTCCATAACCACGCCCCATTCTCCCGCTTTCCATCACCCTGCCCCATTCTCCCGCTTTCCATCACCCCGCCCCATTCTCCCGCTTTCCATCACCCCGCCCCATTCTCCCTCCTTCCATCACCCCGCCCCATTCTCCCGCTTTCCATCACCCCGCCCCATTCTCCCGCTTTCCATCACCCCGCCCCATTCTCCCGCTTTCCATCACCCCGCCCCATTCTCCCGCTTTCCATCACCCCGCCCCATTCTCCCGCTTTCCATCACGCCGCCCCATTCTCCCGCTTTCCATCACCGCGCCCCATTCTCCCGCTTTCCATCACCGCGCCCCATTCTCCCGTTTTCCATCACCCCACCCCATTCTCCCGCTTTCCATCACCCCGCCCCATTCTCCCGCTTTCCATCACCCCGCCCCATTCTCCCGCTTTCCATCACCCCGCCCCATTCTCCCGCTTTCCATCACCCCGCCCCATTCTCCCTACTTCCATCACCTCGCCCCATTCTCCGCTTTCCATCACCCCGCCCCATTCTCCCGCTTTCCATCACCCCGCCCCATTCTCCGCTTTCCATCACCCCGCCCCATTCTCCCGCTTTCCATCACCACGCCCCATCTCCCGCTTTCCATCACCCCGCCCCATTCTCCCGCTTTCCATCACCCCGCCCCATTCTCCCGCTTTCCATCACCCCGCCCCATTCTCCCGCTTTCCATCACCCCGCCCCATTCTCCCGCTTTCCATCACCCCGCCCCATTCTCCCGCTTTCCAGCACCCCGCTCCATTCTCCCGCTTTCCATCACCTCGCCCCATTCTCCCGCTTTCCATCACCCCGCCCCATTCTCCCTACTTCCATCACCCCGCCCCATTCTCCCGCTTTCCATCACCCCGCCCCATTCTCCCTCTTTCCATCACCTCGCCCCATTCTCCTCCCTTCCATCACCCCTCCCCATTCTCCCTCTTTCCATCACCCCGCCCCATTCTCCCGCTTTCCATCACCCCGCCCCATTCTCCCTCCTTCCATCACCCCGCCCCATTCTCCCTCCTTCCATCACCCCGCCTCATTCTCCCTCCTTCCATCACACCGCCCCATTCTCCCGCTTTCCATCACCCCCTCCCGCTTTCCATCACCCCGCCCCATTCTCCCTCCTTCCATCACCCCACCCCATTCTCCTGCTTTCCATCACCCCACCCCATTCTCCCTCCTTCCACCACCCCACCCCATTCTCCCGCTTTCCATCACCCCACCCCATTCTCCCGCTTTCCATCACCCCGCCCCATTCTCCCGCTTTCCATCACCCCGCCCCATTCTCCCGCTTTCCATCACCCCGCCCCATTCTCCCGCTTTCCATCACCCCGCCCCATTCTCCCGCTTTCCATCACCCCGCCCCATTCTCCTGCTTTCCATCACCCCGCCCCATTCTCCCGCTTTCCATCACCCCGCCCCATTCTCCCGCTTTCCATCACTCCGCCCCATTCTCCCGCTTTCCATCACCCCGCCCCATTCTCCCGCCTTCCATCACCCCGCCTCATTCTCCCTCCTTCCATCACCCCGCCCCGTTCTCCCGCTTTCCATCACCCCGCCCCGTTCTCCCGCTTTCCATCACCCCGCCCCGTTCTCCCGCTTTCCATCACCCCGCCCCGTTCTCCCGCTTTCCATCACCCCGCCCCGTTCTCCCGCTTTCCATCACCCCGCCCCGTTCTCCCGCTTTCCATCACCGCGCCCCATTCTCCCGCTTTCCATCACCGCGCCCCATTCTCCCGCTTTCCATCACCCCCCCCCATTCTCCCGCTTTCCATCACCCCGCCCCATTCTCCCGCTTTCCATCACCCCGCCCCATCCTCCCTCCTTCCATCACCCCGCCCCATTCTCCCGCTTTCCAGCACCCCGCCCCATTCTCCCTCTTTCCATCACCTCGCCCCATTCTCCCGCTTTCCATCACCCCGCCCCATTCTCCCGCTTTCCATCACCCCGCACCATTCTCCCTCTTTCCATCACCCCGCCCCATTCTCCCTCTTTCCATCACCCCGCTCCATTCTCCCGCTTTCTATCACCCTGCCCCATTCTCCTGCTTTCCATCACTCCGCCCCATTCTCCCGCTTTCCATCACCCCGCCCCATTCTCCGGCTTTCCATCACCCCGCCCTATTCTCCCGCTTTCTAGCAGTCCGCCCCATTCTCCCTCTTTCCATCACCCCGCCCCATTCTCCTGCCTTCCATCACCCCGCCCCATTCTCCCGCTTTCCATCACCCCGCCCCATTCTCCCTCCTTCCACCACCCCGCCCCATTCTCCCTCCTTCCATCACCTCGCCCCATTCTCCCGCTTTCCATCACCCCGCCCCATTCTCCCGCTTTCCATCACGCCGCCCCATTCTCCCGCTTTCCATCACCCCCTCGCGCTTTCCATCACCCCGCCCCATTCTTCCTCCTTCCATCATCTCGCCCCATTCTCCCTCCTTCCATCACCCCACCCCATTCTCCCGCTTTCCATCACCCCGCCCCATTCTCCCGCTTTCCATCACCCCGCCCCATTCTCCCTCTTTCCATCACCCCGCCCCATCCTCCTGCTTTCCATCACCCCACCCCATTCTCCCGCTTTCCATCACCCCGCCCCATTCTCCCGCTTTCCATCACCCCGCCCCATCCTCCCTCCTTCCATCACCCCGCCCCATTCTCCCGCTCTCTAGCACCCCGCCCCATTCTCCCTCTTTCCATCACCCCGCCCCATTCTCCCGCTTTCCATCACCCCGCCCCACTCTCCCGCTTCCCATCACCCCGCCCCTTTCTCCCGCTTTCCATCACCCCGCCCCATTCTCCCGCTTTCCGTCACCCCGCCCCATTGGGGTTGGAAGCGCTCGTTCCGAGCGTTTTTCTTCCGCCGGGTCATGTGGCTGCGCTTGTCTGGGCCTGTTACCAAGCCAGCAAGAGCGTGGGAGGGTTGCGAACATCATTGGTCATCGGCGCTCGCGAATGAAGAGTGCTCGCGAATGAAGATCGCCTACTGCACTTCCTGCACATGTGCGGATCCTTTCTAGTTTTGGGGCTGGAAGCGCTTGTTCTGAGCATTTTTCTTCCGCCGGGTCATGTGGTTGCGCTTGTCTGGGCCTATTGCCAAGCCTGCAAGGGCGTGGGAGGGTTGCGAGCGTCATCAGTCATTGGCGCTCGTGAATGAAGAGCGCCCGCTGCATTTCCTGCACATGTGCGGATCCTTCCGCAATTTGGGGCTGGAAGCGCTCGTTTCGAGCGTTTTTCTTTCGCCAGGTCATGTGGCTGCGCTTGTCTGGGCCGATTGCCAAGCCAGCAAGGGCGTGGGAGGGTTGCGAGCGTCATCGGTCATCGGTGCTCGCAAATGAAGAGTGCCCGCTGCACTTCCTGCACATTTGCGGATCCTTCCGCGATTTGGGGCTGGAAGCGCTCGTTCTAAGCGTTTTACTTCCACCGGACCACGTGGCTGCGCTTTTCTGGGCCTATTGCCAAGTTAGCAAGGGCGTGGGTGGGTTGCAAGCATCATCGGTCATCGGCGCTACGAATGAAGAGCGCCTGCTGCACTTCCTGCACATGTGCGGATCCTTCCGCGTTTTGAGGCTAGAAGCGCTCGTTCCAAACGTTTTTCTTCCACTGGGTCACGTGGCAGCGCATATCTGGGCCTATTACCAAGTCAGCAAGAGCGTGGGAGGGTTGCGAGCATCATCGGTCATCGGAGCTCGCGAATGAAGAGCGCCCGCTGCACATCCTGCACATGTGCGGATCCTTCCGCGTTTTGGGAATGGAAGCGCTCGTTCGAGCGTTTTTCTTCTGCCGGGTCACGTCGTTGCGCTTGTCTAAGCCTATTACCAAGCCAGCAAGGGCGTGGGAAGGTTGCGAGCGTCATCGGTCATCGGCGCTCGCGAATGAAGAGCGCCTGCTGCACTTCCTGCACATGTGCGGATCCTTCTGCGTTTTGGGGTTGGAAGCGCTCGTTCCGAGCCTTTTTCTTCTGCCGGGTCACGTGGCTGCGCTTGTCTGGGCCTATTACCAAGTCAGCAAGGGCGTGGGAAGGTTGTGAGCATCATCTATCATCGGCGCTCGCGAATGGATAGCGCCCGCTGCATTTCCTGCACATGTGCGGATCCTTCCGCGTTTTGGTGCTGGAAGCGCTCGTTCCGAGCGTTTTTCTTCCGTCGGGTCACGTGGTTGCACTTGTCTGGGCCTATTGCCAAGCCAGAAAGGGCGTGGGAGGGTTGCGAGCATCATCGGTCATCGGTGCCCGCGAATGACGGGCGTCCGATGCACTTTCTGCACATGTGCGGATCCTTCCGCGTTTTGGGGCTGGGAGCGCTCGTTCCGAGCGTTTTTCTTTCGCCAGGTCACGTGGCTGCGCTTGTCTATACCTATTACCAAGCCAGCAAGAGCGTGGGAGGGTTGCGAGCATCATCGGTCATCGGAGCTCGCGAATGAACAGTGCCCGCTGCACTTCCTGCACATGCGCGGATCCTTACTCGATTTAGGGCTGGAAGCGCTCGTTCCGAGCGCTTTTCTTCCGCCGGATCACGTGGCTGCGCTTGTCTGGGCCTATTACCAAGCCAGCAGGGGCGTGAGAGGGTTGCGAGCATCATCGGTCATCGGCGCTCGCGAATGAAGAGCGTCTGCTTCACTTCTTGCACATGTGCGGATCCTTCCGCGTTTTGGGAATGGAAGCGCTCGTTCCGAGCGTTTTTCTTCCGCTGGGTCATGTGGCTGCGCATATCTAGGCCTATTACCAAGCCAGCAGGGGCGTGGGAGGGTTGCAAGCATCATCGGTCATCGGCGCTCGCGAATGTAGAGTGTCCGCTCCACTTCCTGCACATGTGCGGATCCTTCCGCGTTTTGGCGCTGGAAGCGCTCGTTCCGATCGTTTCTATTCCGCTGGGTCACGTGTCTGCGCATATCTGGGCCTATTACCAAGCCAGCAAGGGCGTGGGATGGTTGCGAGCATCATCGGTCATCGGCGCTCGCGAATGAAGAGCGCCCGCTGCACTTCGTGCACACGTGCGGATCCTTCCCCGTTTTGGGGTTGGAAGCGCTCGTTCTGAGCGTTTTTCTTCCGCCGAGTCATGTGGCTGCGCTTCTCTGGGCCTATTACCAAGCCAGCAGGGGCGTGGGAGGGTTGCGAGCATCATCGGTCATCGGCGCTCGCGAATTTAGAGTGTCCGCTGCACTTCCTGCACATGTGCGGATCCTTCCGCGTTTTGGGGTTGAAAGCGCTCGTTCCGAGCGTTTCTATTCCGCTGGGTCACGTGGCTGCGCATATCTGGGCCTATTACCAAGCCAGGAGGGGCGTGGGAGGGTTGCGAGCATCATCGGTCATCGGCGCTCGCGAATGAAGAGCGTCCGCTGCACTTCTTGCACATGTGCGGATCCTTCCGCGTTTTGGGGCTGGAAGCGCTCGTTTCGAGAGTTTTTCTTCCGCTGGGTCACGTGGCTGCGCATATCTAGGCCTATTACCAAGCCAACAGGGGCGTGGGAGGGTTGCGAGCATCATCGGTCATCGGCGCTCGCGAATGTAGAGTGTCCACTGCACTTCCTGTACACGTGCGGATCCTTCCGCGTTTTGTGGCTGGAAGCGCTCGTTTCGAGCGTTTCTATTCCACTGGGTCACGTGGCTGCGCATATGTGGGCCTATTACCAAGCCAGCAAGGGCGTGGGAGGGTTGCGAGCATCATCGGTCATCGGCGCTCGCGAATGAAGAGCGCCCGCTGCACTTCGTGCACACGTGCGGATCCTTCCTCGTTTTGGGGCTGGAAGCGCTCGTTCTGAGCGTTTTTCTTCCGCCGGGTCATGTGGCTGCGCTTGTCTGGGCCTATTACCAAGCCAGCAAGGGCATCATCGGTCATCGACGCTCGCGAATGAAAAGCGTCCGCTACACTTCCTGCACATGTGCGGATCCTTCCGCGTTTTGGGGGTAGAAGCGCTCGTTCCGAGTGTTTTTCCTCCGCCGGGTCACTTGGCTGCGCTTGTCTGGGCCTATTACCAAGCCAGCAAGGGCGTGGGATGGTTGCGAGCATCATCGGTCATCGGCGCTCGCGAATCAAGAGCGCTCGCTGCACTTCTAGCACATATGCGGATCCTTCCGCGTTTTGGGGTTGGAAGCGCTCGTTCCGAGCGTTTTTCTTCCGCCAGGTCATGTGGCTGCCCTTGTCTGGGCCTGTTACCAAGCCAGCAAGGGCGTGGGAGGGTTGCGAGCATCATTGGTCATCGGCGCTCGCGAATGAAGAGCGCTCGCGAATGAAGATCGCCCGCTGCACTCCTGCACATGTGTGGATCCTTCCGCGTTTTGGGGCTGGAAGCGCTCGTTCCGAGCGTTTTTCTTCCACCGGGTCACGTGTCTGCGCTTGTCTGGGCCTATTACCAAGCCAGCAAGGGCGTGGGAGGGTTGCGAGTATCATCGGTCATCGGCACTCGCGAATGAAGAGCGCCTGCTGCACTTCATGCACACGTACGGATCCTTTCGCGTTTTGGGGCTTGAAGCTACTTATACTTCCAAAGAGTCACTCTACAACGGTAGTGAGCTAGACCACGGGGGTTGGCACGAACTACTAGAGGTGATCGTAGCTTTGCCTAGTTCCTTGGTGCTTGCACAATCGCGGGAGAAATCGGCAAGAGTTTCCACTAGCAAAGTTGGAATTGCAGAATTGATTCAACAAGAGATGGCAACAATGACTACATCAGGCACCTAGCAACCCTGCAGCTAGCCTGGTCGATCGCCAGCACAGCTTGGTCGACCGCCTACCAGCGTTGCGTAGAGGAGCCGCGCCAGCACTGCAGAAGGGCGACCTGCCAACAGAGCAGGTCGACGGCGTGCCAACGCTGCAGCAGAGCGGCTGTCCAGCGTTGCCCCGTAGAACACAGCAGTGCGCACGCTCGCAGACGATTGGCCCGACTTGCCTTGTTGGGCATCTGTCGGCTGTTGTCTGCGCCTGACAAGCCACATCGACTTCTGGATACCAGCACGAAGTCGCCTGCGCCATTACGACCTTGACGACGTTCGCGTGCCTCCGCAGAACTCGTCGAGCAGGTTACCCGGTCGACCTGGTCGACCCCCAGATGCTCTGGTCGACCCCCAGGTGCCTCCGGTCGACCACCGGGTCCCTTTGGTCGACCACCAGGTGCCTCTGGTCGACCACAACTCCCGTCGAGCTACCCCCTGGTCGACGGACCCCTTCCGTCGACCAGATTCGTTAGCGGTTGTCGCCGAGCTCCCCTCGTCGACCGCTGCTCACTTGTCAGGTCGACGGACTGCTCCGTCGACCTCCCGGTCGAACTGCAGGTCGACAGACTGCTCCCGGTCGAACTGCAGGTCGACGGACTGCTCCCGGTCGAGCTTCAGGTCGACGGAGACCCCCTGGTCGAGCTGCAGGTCGACGGAGACCTCCCGGTCGAGCTGCAGGTCGACGGAGGCCTCCCGGTCGAACTGCCCCTCCTGGTCGACGGCCCACCCGTCGCCCAGACCAGTCAGTTGCAGCTGTCGAGCTCCCTGGTCTCCAGCAGCACCACAGCGGTCCCCTGCAGCTCGACGATGCCTGTCGAGCAGCTCTCCCACTGTGAACGGTCGGCTGCTACTCCCGTACATCCGACCAAGTCGTCGGCGTTGCCCAAGCGAGGGCGGGGCCAACAATCCATTCCTGTTAACAATACTTACAAACTTACCAGTGCTCACTTTGATTTGCCCGCGGCATTGGATGCCGTTATCGCCTTGCTAGTCCACTAGATTAGACCAGGGAGATATGCTATGGACCAGCTATGTGTGCTACGGACCAGCTAGGTGTGCTACGGACCAGCTAGGTGTGCTACGGACCTGGGAGATGTCCGACGGACCAGCTAGGTGTGCGACGGACCAGCTAGGTGTGCTACAGATTAGCTAGGTTTGCAACGGACCAGGGAGATGTGCTACGGACCAGCTAGGTGTGCTACGGACCAGCCTGTGCTAGGAGTGTAGCGTTCATGTTCATTTTTGGGGTTTGTAGCCCCGACACTCGAGAAAATCCGCACGTGTGTAGAAAAATGAACTGCTTCACATATTTTGCAAACACTTGTTTTGCCAAAGTCTTATGCCGCGTATTCCCGACGTAGTCTGCCTCACTATCGGTTTGTGGATTTAGGGGGCCTATGGATTGGGATGCTTTCGTTAGCTTCACTACGGTAATTTAGAGCTTTGAAACGTTACTTATAGGTTTCCGTACTGCTATCTCCTGTCCTAAGCACAGCACGATCGTAGTACTAGCGAGTAATTTTATGTGTTATTCTCTAAACGTTTTTGTCCTTCGAATCATTGCCATGAGGCCATCAGTGGCAGCAGTCGACTGGGTGGAGGACGAGTGGTCCGCGGCGCCGTGCGAGTCGTCGCCGCCAGCCTCCACCGCTGCACCCGCCGCTTCGCCGCTTACCCTAACCGCTCCGCCCAAGCGCCTCAATTCGCTCGCCTCCTCGTTTCTTCCCGCCGCCATCTTCGCGCGTCCTTCGCCGCCGGCGGTCTCGCGGCTCCTCGCCGACGGGGCTGCGGCGGCTGGCGGCGACGGCGACGGCGAGGAGTGCGAGGGTGAGGGCGGGCCTTACGCGGCGTGGGAGGAGGACGGGGAGGGGGGGGACGACGAGGGTAACGACGGGCGTGCGGAGGCAGGCGGGGTCGGGGAAGGCGGAGTGGGGTCGGTGCTGCTGGCGTGGGGTCGCAACCTCTTTCACCGCCCTCCGCCCGCGTCCCTCTCGCCGCCCTCCACGCTTCTCCAGCCGCTCACTTCCCTCGAAGCGCGAGCCCCCTCCTCCTTCCGCCGGCATGCCGCCACCATCGGCAGCAGCGCCGGCAGCAGCGCGGACGGCGCCCGTTCTCTCGCCGGCAAGCTCTGGGGGGCGCTGGCTCCTCGCTCCACACACGCGCACCTGCTCAGTGACGTCAGCAGTGGTAGCGCCAACATCAGCAGCGCGCCTCCTCACAGTTCGGGAGGGGCAGCGCGCGGAGCTCCGCGGAACGGCGCGCGCAGCTCGGGCATGGCGGGCGAGTCGTTCGAGTCTCCGCGTTCTGCTCGCGAGCACGCTGCGGGCGCACCAGGGGGAGCCAGGGGGAGGGGCAACTGGTCGGCGGGAGGGGGGACGCTGAGCGCTGTGGGCGCGCAGGGCAGCAGGGAGGGGTTGGGAGGGATGGCGTGTGGTGGTGAGGGTGGTGGGGATGGCGGGCGCACAGGGGCGGTGGGACGAGGCGGGGATGGGTGTGGGGCGCAGGGGGGCGGGGGGCAGGGGTGGGCGCACAAGGTGTTGGAGGTGCTGCCTGTGCTGGCCGTGGTGACTCTCATGGTCTTCGGTACCGTCGCCTACCTCACCGTTGTTGACGCCAGTGAGCCCCCACCCTCCCTCCCTCCCTCCCTCACTGCTCCGCTCGCCTGCTTCCTCTCTGCCGTGCTCCCTGCTCCATTCTTACCCCATCTGCCTGCTTCCTCTCTGCCGTGCTCCCTGCTCCATTCTTACCCCATCTGCCTGCTTCCTCTCTGCCGTGCTCCCTGCTCCATTCTTACCCATCTGCCTGCTTCCTCTCTGCCGTGCTCCCTGCTCCATTCTTACCCATCTGCCTGCTTCCTCTCTGCCGTGCTCCCTGCTCCATTCTTACCCCATCTGCCTGCTTCCTCTCTGCCGTGCTCCCTGCTCCATTCTTACCCCATCTGCCTGCTTCCTCTCTGCCGTGCTCCCTGCTCCATTCTTACCCCATCTGCCTGTTTCCTCTCTGCCGTGCTCCGTGCTCCATTCTTACCCATCTGCCTGCTTCCTCTCTGCCGTGCTCCCTGCTCCATTCTTACCCCATCTGCCTGCTTCCTCTCTGCCGTGCTCCCTGCTCCATTCTTACCCATCTGCCTGCTTCCTCTCTGCCGTGCTCCCTGCTCCATTCTTACCCCATCTGCCTGCTTCCTCTCTGCCGTGCTCCCTGCTCCATTCTTACCCCATCTGCCTGCTTCCTCTCTGCCGTGCTCCCTGCTCCATTCTTACCCCATCTGCCTGCTTCCTCTCTGCCGTGCTCCCTGCTCCATTCTTACCCATCTGCCTGCTTCCTCTCTGCCGTGCTCCCTGCTCCATTCTTACCCATCTGCCTGCTTCCTCTCTGCCGTGCTCCCTGCTCCATTCTTACCCATCTGCCTGCTTCCTCTCTGCCGTGCTCCCTGCTCCATTCTTACCCCATCTGCCTGCTTCCTCTCTGCCGTGCTCCCTGCTCCATTCTTACCCATCTGCCTGCTTCCTCTCTGCCGTGCTCCCTGCTCCATTCTTACCCATCTGCCTGCTTCCTCTCTGCCGTGCTCCCTGCTCCATTCTTACCCCATCTGCCTGCTTCCTCTCTGCCGTGCTCCCTGCTCCATTCTTACCCCATCTGCCTGCTTCCTCTCTGCCGTGCTCCCTGCTCCATTCTTACCCCATCTGCCTGCTTCCTCTCTGCCGTGCTCCCTGCTCCATTCTTACCCATCTGCCTGCTTCCTCTCTGCCGTGCTCCCTGCTCCATTCTTACCCCATCTGCCTGCTTCCTCTCTGCCGTGCTCCCTGCTCCATTCTTACCCCATCTGCCTGCTTCCTCTCTGCCGTGCTCCCTGCTCCATTCTTACCCATCTGCATGCTTCCTCTCTGCCGTGCTCCCTGCTCCATTCTTACCCCATCTGCCTGCTTCCTCTCTGCCGTGCTCCCTGCTCCATTCTTACCCCATCTGCCTGCTTCCTCTCTGCCGTGCTCCCTGCTCCATTCTTACCCCATCTGCCTGCTTCCTCTCTGCCGCACCCTCTGCTCTCTCCTCATCGTTTCTTGCGTCCCACAATCACTACAGCTTCGCTCTCTCACCCGTGTCTCCCTCCGTGTCCCCCCATCCTTCCCCCCGCCCCTCCCTCCTCTGCGAGCGCCAGTCCTGCCGCGCCTGCGCCCGGCCTTCTCCCTGGCGTGTCCGCTGCAGCAGGGCCACTGGGCGCTCTCCTCGCGCCGCCCGCTCTACCCGCCCTCCTGCCCCTTCCTCCGAGACGACTTCAACTGCGCCAAGTTCGGCCTATCAGCGCGTGACACGTGGCGCTGGGAGCCGTCGCAGTGCCAGGTGGCGGAGTTCTCAGCGGGGGCGTGGCTGCGGGGCATGGCGGGGCGGCGAGTGGCGTATGTGGGCGACAAGGCCGTGGCCAACGCCTTTGACTCGCTGCTCTGCATGCTCGCCCAGGCCGACTCCCCCACGCCCCTCTCTCCCTCCTCGCCCCACCGTGCTCTCTCCGCACTCAGCGACCCTCCCGTGCCTGCCACGCACGCGAGGAGGGGACTTGGTGGCAGCGGCGGGAGGAGCGACTCGCAGGCTGGTAGCGGCGGCAGGCAGGGGGAGAGCGTGAGGGCCGCTGCTGATGGGCGCGTGTTCATTGGCGCCCTCGACGCCCCCGGTGCTGCCCCCTATGACCCCCCTGCCGTCCCGTATGCCCCCCCTGTCACCCCGGATGCCCTGCCTGCCGCCTCAGATGCCCCCCCTGCTGCCCTGCATGCAGACCTTGCTGCCACTCCAAGCGCAGCACTGCACGCGGGGACGAGGGGCAGAGGGGGCGCAGGCAGTGATGTGAGGCGGGGCGGGGCGAGGCACAGCGATGGCGGGTGGGGCTGGAACCCCATCAGGTGGGGCGCGTGGACAAGGCAGGGCAGCAGGCAGCACGTGGGAAGTGCTGATGATGCCAGCAGTAGAGGCGACGCCGCAGGCGCCAGCAGCGCCACCAGCCACGGTGGCTCCTCCCCTGCTGCTGCAGCATCGGTGTCGTCTGGCCTGTTTGACATGCAGCCGCTGCACTACTGGTTTCCGCGCTACAACTTCACTCTCGCGCTGCTGCCCTCGCCCTTCCTTGTCCGGACGTCCCTGCACGCGCCAGTCAACACCACTCTCTGCCAGCTGCAACGCGCTGCTGCCGCCACGCCACTCAACACCTCTTCTGCTCTCAACAGCACTACCACCACCACCAGCACCACCACCAGCGGGGCACCTGCAAGTGGGGCGGCAGAGCATGCAGCAGCCGCGTCTTCAACCAAAGCAAGCAGCGGCAAGGAGGAGGGGCTGACAGGCGGCGATGCGTGCTACCCGAACCGCATGTATGTGGATGAGCCCGACCCCGCATGGGCGGAGCAGGCAGCACAGTTCGACGTGCTGGTGCTGGCATCGGGGCGCAGCTGGACGGAGGAGGCGGTGGAGACCAACGGGCTCAGCATCGTGGCGGGCGGGGTGCGGCGCAGTGAGCTCAGTGTGGAGGGGCTGGTGGGGCAGTGGGCGTACCCTCTTGCCATGGCGGCCGTGGCGTCGTGGCTGGGCAACGCGTCGCACTTCAATGGCACTGCTGTGTTCCGCTCCTTCAGCCCCACCCACCCGCGCAAGGAGTGCGCCGCCCGCACCTTCCTCCCCGATGCTGTGAGTCTCTTTCTTGCACCCTGATGCTGCTTGCCCCCTGCCTTCTCTGCTCTGCTGTTGCTTGGCACTGCTCTGCACTATCTTCTCTCTCTTCTCTATCTGCTATACCGCCTCAATACCCACCCCACCCAATTGCCCTCCCCCCTACCTGCATGGCCATTTGCACAGGAGCATGCAGCGGACGTGATGGAGGAGGCACGGCGCTACGATGATGCCGTGGCGCATGCCATCGCCATGGCTCAGGACAGCACCCACACCTCCACCACCACCACCACTGCAGCAGCGGGTGCAGCACCAGGGGCGTGGGCGGCGGTGGGGCATGGGGGTCCGAGGCTGCACTGGATGAACGTGTCGCTGTTGACAGCACAGCGCGCTGATGCCCACCCATGGATGGCATCGCCTGGCCGCCCCACAGCGGACTGCACCAGCTGGTGCCTGCCAGGCGTGCCCGACACGTGGAACGAGCTGCTCACTGCCACGCTGCTTAAACTGTTCGAACGCCACTGACTGATGGCTGCGCCGCTCGGGGAACACACTTGCGGTTGCAAGTGCCGCATGTGCTTGTACAGCGTTCTGCAACGCATCTGTCGGTTTAGTTATGATTGAGCTGCACTGGTTTGTTGTTTGTTGTGAACTAGCTTAGGGTTGTTCCGTACATCATGGAGCTACATTGAGTGTCATGTCACACTATGGACTGCCTTTGGCAACATTATTGCATCCCAAACTACTTGCCACGTGGTCAAGGTTCATCAGCCTAGCACAAGACAGCACATCAGCACGATTACTACCATGTTGCAGACGCAAAAGCTCAAGGCCCTTCGAGGCTCGGGGTTGTCACGAGCGCAGTGCTTCAAGAGGAGGCTTGTCCATCCATCGGAAGCGGCAGCCACTCTCCTCCAGGTCCGCCAGCAGCTGGGGTGAGAGCAGCGGCCGCCACGCCTGCAGCAGCTTCACCTTCTTCAGCCCCACACAGCGCGTGAGTGCGGCCTCAAGGCCCGGCATGGAGAGGTGCGAGCAGTGCACGAGGTTGAACTTGGTCATGCACGCCATGCCCGCCATCGCCCCCAGCCCCGCATCCGATATGCTCGTGTACGATAGATTCGCCTGAGGGGGGTGGGGAAGTGGGGAAGGAAATGGGAGAGATGAGGTGGGACTAGGGGCAGTGTGTTGAACGCATGAGGTGGGTTGCAGGGAAGGAGGAGAGGGGCGGTGGGGAGAATGCACGAGTAGGAAGGGGTGGGGGGAGCAGGAGGGACCTGTCTGAGGTCGGGGCAGCCGTGGGCGAGGGCAATGAAGCCGGCATCGTCCACACCCGTGCACTGCTTCACATCCACCTCCTGCAGCTCCCGACACCCCCACACCTGCCCCCCCGCCCCTCCCGCCTCCTGTTGCCCGCCTCCCTGCACGCCGCTTGTTGCCTGAGGTGCCTGCGCGGGCGGCAGATGGCCGGCGATGGCGAGGAGGCCGGCGCTGGTGAGGAGAGGCGCGTCGCGCACCTCGAGGTTGCGCAGGCGCGGGCAGTGGCGCGCTATGGCTATGAGGGCAGCGTCGCGCACGCGGTGGCAGTAGGAGAGGTTGAGAGTGCTCAGCCCCGTGCATGCCTGCGCCACCGCTGCTATGCCCGCACATGACACGCCCTCACAGCTGCCAGGAAGAAGGGGAGAGGCATGGGGTTGCAGGGCATGTGTGGCTGCTGCTGGTGTGGGTTGGAAGACATGCCATGACATGGCATGCGGTGAGGTTGCATGAATGCATGAGCTGCCACAGAATGGCATCCAATAATACAGCGTTGGGTGGGATGGGGAGCATACCGGTAGAGGTCGAGTTCGGTGAGGGAGGAGCAGGAGGCAGCGAGGGAGATGAGGCCAGCATCAGTGATATCCATGTCGAAGCCCAGCTTCAGTGACTGCAGCAACGGGCAGTGCCGCAGGCCCTGTACGGCTGGTTACGGCATGGGGGAGTACACAACACGTGGAGCACAGTGAGTGGGGCGCAGTGGATTGCGCACAAGGGGATTCGGAGAAACGAACACAGAACAACAGAGTGTGCCCCCATCTCCCACATGACCCAAATGACCCTTTGCCTTCACCCATGCAAACACGCTGCCCTTCCCACTCTTTCCCTGGCCATGGCACGGCACGGCGGGGCACGCACTGGTGTCGGAGATGCCGCAGTCAGTGAGGTCGAGATTGGAGAGCGCAGCGCAGTGCTGGAAGAGCCCCACCAGCCCCGCGTCTGACACGCCGCGACACGCCTCCATGCGCACACACGCCAGCCGCCTGCCAGCACGGACACATGCAGGCACACACGGGGCAGAGAAGCAGGGGCCTTGGTACTGTGCTGTGCACTGGTATGGCTCGCATTGCATGCACTGCATGGTTCTGCACCGCCCACCAGCCAGCACCCCTGCTCACAGGAGGCGCACGTGGCTTGCAGCAGCTGGCGGCACACAAGCAAGTCAATGGGGTGGCGATGGATGCATGCATGGCGGGCAAGCGGAGAGGGCGGACCTGCAGTGAGCGGAGAGGGCGAGCAGGGAGGCGTCAGTGACAGAGGAGCAGCAGGTGATGTCGAGGGAGAGCAGGTTGGGGCACGCTGCCGCCAGTGCTGTGAGGCCCTCATCCCCCACCGCCTCACACCGCCTCACTGATACCTCCTCCAACTGCCAGCACCCCAACGCCGCCCACCTCCCCACCCCCATCCCCACCCCCACCTGCGCTGCTGCCTGCCCTGCAGCGCTCAGCCCATCCGCTGCTCCTACTGCCGTGGCATGGCCGTGTGCTGCTGCTGCATGGTCATTCGCTCCCTCTGCTGCTGCATGCGCCCCGCCTGCTACTGCTCTCTGCTCGTTCACTAACACCCCCTCCTCTACTGCCGCTGCTGCTCCTCCTCCTCCGGCTGCTGCTGCTGCTGCTGCTGCTGCTGCTGCTACTGGCATGCTAGTTTCAGCAGCATCGGTCGTGGTGGGAGCGGGAGGGGCAGCGGCGGCAGCGGGAGGGGGAGCGGGAGCGGGGGTGGGAGGGGAGGAGGCGCCGGCGAGGTCAGAGAGGCCGGAGTCAGTGATGGGCGCGAGGTCCAGCTTGAGACGACGCAGCGATGGGAAGCGCGGCAGCACCGCCAACAGGTTGTCACTCACCTGATGGACGCCGGGGGGTGGCATGGGCGCGCCATGCGAGGGACCGAGAGGGGTGGGGGAGGAGAGGAGGATGAGGCGCACACAGCAGCGAGCAGTGAAGGCGTGAGCCGTTGCATGCGGAACATGCACAATTATTGGGGGCGTGCTGGTTTGGGCCTTGTCATTGCTTGATTGAAGACTTGCTGAGAATACTTGCCTAGAGGGGGCTATCCTTCCGTTAATCTTGCCTGTGGGCAGAAGGCAGCGGTGAGGGCGGTGAGCGGGATGGCGCCTGCTGTGAGCGCCATCAGCCCCACATCCGTCACCTGCTCACACCCAGATACGTCCAAACTCTGCCACCCAGGAAAATGGGGGAGGAAAGGGAGCTTTGAGAAGGGAGGAAAGGGAGGCAGATTGGGATGGGGCATCTGAGTACATCTAAGAGCATCAAGGTGCTTTAACTGCCACCTGATTGGCACATGCTTGCCCCGGGTGTCACCTGCAGCGCGGTGCATCCGTGGCGGAGAGTGGCGATGGCGGGGTCGGTGAGTGACTGGCAGCTGGAGAGGTTGAGATGCGTCAGGGCAGGGTGCCGCTGCACCACCTTCATTGCCGCCTCCGTCACCTGCCCGCCAAGGGGTTGGGGGTGGTGGAGGGGGGTGGGATACGATGTTGGAGAGAGCAGGGGAGAAAACGGAAGAGAACGGGGAAAGGACTGGGCAGAAAGGCAGTGAGGGAATGTCAGAGGCAGGGAGAGAGAGTGGTGGGGTTGGGCGAGGAGCGTGGCTTGCCTTGGATTTGGAGAGGTGGGGGGTGCACCTTGGTGTAGGAGAGGTGGGGGGTGCACCTTGGTGTAGGAGAGGTGGGGGGTGCACCTTGGTGTAGGAGAGGTGGGGGGTGCACCTTGGTGTAGGAGAGGTGGGGGGTGCACCTTGGTGTAGGAGAGGTGGGGGGTGCACCTTGGTGTAGGAGAGGTGGGGGGTGCACCTTGGTGTAGGAGAGGTGGGGGGTGCACCTTGGTGTAGGAGAGGTGGGGGGTGCACCTTGGTGTAGGAGAGGTGGGGGGTGCACCTTGGTGTAGGAGAGGTGGGGGGTGCACCTTGGTGTAGGAGAGGTGGGGGGTGCACCTTGGTGTAGGAGAGGTGGGGGGTGCACCTTGGTGTAGGAGAGGTGGGGGGTGCACCTTGGTGTAGGAGAGGTGGGGGGTGCACCTTGGTGTAGGAGAGGTGGGGGGTGCACCTTGGTGTAGGAGAGGTGGGGGGTGCACCTTGGTGTAGGAGAGGTGGGGGGTGCACCTTGGTGTAGGAGAGGTGGGGGGTGCACCTTGGTGTAGGAGAGGTGGGGGGTGCACCTTGGTGTAGGAGAGGTGGGGGGTGCACCTTGGTGTAGGAGAGGTGGGGGGTGCACCTTGGTGTAGGAGAGGTCGAGGGTGTGGATGGCGTGGCAGTTGGAGAGCAGCACGTCCACGCCACGGTCAGTGATGCCCACACACCACCGCACTGACACCTCCTGCACCGCCTTGCACCCCGCTGCTATGCAGCACACCCCCATGTCCGTGATGCTGCGGCAGTTGCCCAACCCCAACACCTGCCGTGCTCCATGCCGTCATGCCGTCATGTCGCATTCCAGCATGGCGTTACGCAATGCCATACAACAGGGGCGGGGGAGAGCGGAGGAGTGGTGAGAGGCGCTCTAGGCATGCATGCGTCACTGCTCTGGGAGAAGAGGAGGAACGGGGAGGGGAGGAGGTAAGGGGAGGGGCGGAAGAGGAGGGTCAGGAGGGGCGGGAGGGGCGGGAGAGCGTACCTTGAGTTGGTGGCAGGAGGCGATGGGCATGAGAGCAGCGTCGTCGAAGGTGCCGTTGGTGAGCCAGAGCGCCTGCAGCTGCGTGCAGTGCGCGCCGATGGCCTCCAACGCCGCCTGCCCGATCCGCTTGTTGCTCGCCAGGTTCAGCCGCTGCAGGCTCGGCCCGAACCTCTTTGCGATGGCCACCACGTGCTCGTCGCGGACCTGCAGGCACGGCACGTTAGGGTCGGAAAACTCTGCTCGGAGACCGAGGATAAAAGGCGAGTGGAAAGCGTAGGGCTTGAGGCAAGGAGCGGATTAAGAATCAGAGCAACAGGCGTCGTGTAGTGGCGCAGGCGTAATGGCGGCGAACGAACGCGCGATGCGCTGGTGGTGCAGGGGGCCGTGAAGGGCGCGCCGCGCATGCGACTGCGATCGATCAACAGGGACTCGGTGGCGAGTGGCTCTACGGGTAACGACACGTGTCATACTCGGATGCACTTGGAGCAGTTGAGATCCTGAATCAACGGACAGCACGCGAGGATGGCTTTAAGCGCGCGTTCAGGATGGTGCACTGAGAGTACGCGCCGCGAATCACGGCGAGCCATCGCTTGCACACGAGCGCCGCCGCCAGCTTGTCGGAGCGGCAGTCGAGGCGGCGCAGCACGCTGAACAGCAGATCGTCCTCCAATACGCTCAGCTCGCCGCCTCGCCCGGCCGGCGCGCGCCGGCCGCCGTCCATCGTGCGCTGCGCGGATAACGAAGGGCGGCGGCGAAGTGACGGCGAAGCGGCGGCGAAGCGGCGGAGAAGCTGCAGACGAGCTGCGCGGATTTTCCGCAGATGCACGTGTGTTGAGGTCTGACTGTTAGTTTTGGCGGGCGGGTAAAGGCCGAGGAAGGCACATGTACTGACCGCCACATGAATCCAACCTGCCTGGAATCTCCCTCCCTGCTTTTGGACCCGATATTACCAGACCATACCGAAATCGTGTAGAAATAAACCACGCCGCATCCACCCATGCAGAAAAGGGAAACCTACGGATGACCAAGGGTGAGTTGGTATGTTAGATATATCTATCTAATTAGTCCTTCAAATGAGTTTCTCTTTAGGAGCTTCAAATCACCACACCGTGTTCGCAACTTCTTCGCCGTCGTGGATTCGGTAACACGGAGTGGTCCACATCGCGAGGGGCGCATTCAATCACGACTGGCACTTGTTCAGATCAGCCTTCCCGTCACGAGCCTTCGTCCGCAAGGCCAATTCTGCCCGATCGCACTTGCCTCGTCGCTTTGGCTGCGCGATCGATTGAAAGCACGCGAGCCGTCGATCTCGTCGGACTGCTGATGGGATTTCCTTGGCGCTAGCACGCACGCGGCGCGACGAATCGCGCAACGAGCGCCGACCGCAGGATCGGCGATGGAGGGGGGGATGGCGGAGTCCACGGTGGGCGGCGACTGGAGGGCGCTGTTGGAGGCGGCGTGCGCAGATGATAGGCGCGGTGGGGAGCAGGAGGCGGCGCGGAGGCAACTGCAGGCCCTGGTGCGCGGCGGCCACGTGGCGCTGAGCGACGTGGTGGGCGGCATGGGGCCGCACCTCACCACCGCCGACGGCGCGCTCCGTGCCAGAGGTGCGCTCCGAGCCAGAGGTGCGCGGCCCCGTGTCGCGCACCCCACCCGCGCGCACTCGCCTTCCATCCACGCACACCCTCTTCCTCCCGCTCTTCCCGCCCGCCCACCTCCCTCCCCCACACACCACCCTCCATGATCCCCCTGCTTCGCTTCCGCATCCGCCTCTCCCCTCCCCCCGCCCCACCCCCCTCTCCCCCCAGGCACGGCGCTGCTAGCGGCGCTGGTGGAGGCCATGCTCAATGCTCGCCGTGCCGCTGCCACCGCCGCCCACAATCGCCCCTCCCTGCGCCCCGCTCCCCCTTCCTCCCCCCCGCCCTCAGGCACGGCGCTGCTAGCGGCGCTGGTGGAGGCCATGCTCGCAGTGCCGCTGCCACCGCCCACACTCGCCACTCTCGCGCGCTACTTCGCTCTCCGCATGGTGCGCCTCGCCCCGTCCCCGCCCCCGTTCCCGCCCCTGCTGCCCACCACGCTGCGCCCATTGCCTTCTGTTGCTGCCACGTGCAGCGCTCGCTCGCGCTCCTCTCGCCCGTCTCTCGATTGCATCCGTCCCCCACCCCACTTGTCTCTCCCCCTCCCTCCCATCCTCCCGTTCCCCCACCAGGCGGACTGGCCGTGTGTGAGGGGGGCACTTGGGGGGGCGCTGGCGCTGCTGCAGAGGGGGGAGGGGGTGGGGGCAGTGGCGGAGGGGGATGCGGGGAGCATGGCAGCAGCGGTGGTGGAGGTGCACGTGCAGGCGCTGCCCCAAGTGGACAGGATGGTGAGAGGGTGGGGGGTGGGGTGGGGTGTGGGGTGTGGAGGAAGGAAGGCGGGTGGATGGTGGGCGGGGACTTGAGTGGTGGGAGGGAAGGTGGGAGCATGGGGAGGGGATGCATGCTGGCATGTGTGCGAGGGGAGGGCCGTGTGTAGTCTGTGCTTGGAAGCCCCAATCTCTCCCGGCCACCCACCCGTCCGCCCATCTCTGCCTTTGAGCCTATCATTTGCCTCTCCTCCACCCCGCCACCCAACCATCCATCTCTGCCTGCCCTTCCCCCTTCCCCGGCCCGCCCACCCCTCCAGCTCGCCCTGCAAGTGCTGCGTGCCCTCCTGGAGCGCCACCTGGCAGCGTCCCCCTCCCAAGCAGACAAGGGCGCGAGCAAGCGAGGTGAAGGGGGAGTGCAGTGGGCGGGGCTAGCGGTGGGGGTGGTGGCGGGGGTGGACGGGGAGAAGGACCCGCGCTGCCTGCTGCACGCGCTGCGCATCGTGGCGCTGCTGGTGGGCGCTCTGCACGGGGAGGGCGGTAGCGCTGCTGTGAGCGCCGTGGCGGACGACCTGTTTGACGTCGTCTCTGCTTACTTCCCCGTCTCCTTCTCCCCTGTGAGCCTGCTCCCTTCCCCTGGCATCCGCACACATGGCATCCCATCTCTATGTATCTTATGCTCTGTCAAATGTTTGACAATGCCCCGTCCGCACTCAACCTCCTCATCCCGCCATCATGCCATCCCGCCATCATGCCATCACGCCATCGTGCCTCTCTCCCTCCCCCTTGCAGCCGCCCAACGACCCTCGGGGAATCACGCGAGAGGACCTCGTTCAGGCACTGCTGGTGAGACACTTGCTCCACCCCTCAACCCTTGGGTGTTCCAAGCCCCTTCTCACCTCCCACTCTTCACGCCTCCCTCGCACTTCCCACTCAACACTCACCATTCAACACCTGTCCCTCTGCCCTGCGTGCATTCCTGTGCAAGCACTCATGCTCCGCTCCTTCCCACATCTCGGCCCCACATACTGTCTGCCCTCTCCCCGCGTGGCCACCTGCAGGGCGCCTTCCAGAGCACGCCCCTCTTCGCCCCCATGGCCGTCCCGCTGCTCCTCGACAAGCTCTCCTCCTCCTTCGCCACTGCCAAGGTCCGCCTCTTGCCTCACCTGCTCTTGCCTGTCGCTTTCGATTTCGCATTGGCCTGCCATATGCTTTCCGTGTTCCAAATTCAGTGCCCTGCTCGCATCTATACTTCACCTTTCCTCCGGTCTTTCCTGCTTTCCGTCCGTCCTTGCTATCAAGGTTTATTGCCACCTGTCTTTCTCTCACCTTCCGCGTTCTTCTACTGACTCCCACCCCTCTCGCCCCATCAGCTCGACTCCCTGCGTTTCCTCACTGCTTGTGCCACCGCCTGGGGCCCCAACGCCATTGGCCCCCACGCACCCGCCATCTGGCGCGCCCTCAAACCCCTCCTCCCCGCGCTGCATGCCCCACCACCGCACAGCACCTCTCCCACGCCCTCGCCCTCCGCACCCTCGGGCAGTGGCCCAGATATGTCAGCAGCGGCAGCGGCGGTGCAGTGTGTGGTGGCGTGCGTGCGAGCCACACTGCCCCGCAGCAGCAGCAGCAGGAGCAGCAACGAGGGGAGAAGCGCCATGGGCGGTGAGGCTGCACACCCCTCCCTGCTGGCCGTGATGCTGGCGGATGAGTGTGTGCTGCACGTGGGGGGGCTGCTCGCACAGGGCGGGAAGGACGAGAGGGAGGGATGGGGAGAAGCAAGGCAAGAAGGGACGGCAGGGGTGGCAGGGATGGCAGGGAGAGTGAGGGCAGCAGGTGAGCTGCTCGCCTCTGTGGCCCGCGTGTCCCCCTCCGCCTCCTCTGCCGTCTCTGCTGCCCTCCTTCCGCCCCTCCTGCGCATGCTGCTGCCCCCGTCCGCCCACGCGCAGGGGGAGGGGGGTTTCGATGCTGGGAGGATGGAGCGGCAGGGTGGGGAGGAGGGGGGGAGTGAGATGTGTGAAGCAGTGCAGAGGGTAATGCTGCAGCCACGTGGCATGATGACACTGGATGTGTTGGTCAGCCTTATCCGAACTGCAAGGGACGCGGCACAAGAGGAGTGCAAGCATGAGAGGGGGGATGGGAAGAGAGGGTCAGATAGAGGCAATGAGTGGGAGAGACGGAACGGAGGGGAGGCGAGGAGAGGGGGAGAGAGGAGAGGAGCCATGAGGCCAGGGGAGGCCGGGTGGGGGGAGAGGGCAGATGTGACGGTGGTGGCGGAGAGGGAGCGCCTGCTGCTGCTCTTCCGCTCTGCTCTCGCCCTTGCAATGGCGGGGGAGGGCTATAGTGCAGAGGGGGGGCAGGGGAGCAGCAGCGGGGTGGGTGAGCAGGACAGTACCGCCCGGTGCGAGGAAGCAGCAGTGCTTGGAGGTGAGTGGGCTGCCTGCCACGGCGTGTGTGCTGCCTCTGCTGCCTGCTCGTCGTACCCCAATCTCCCTGCCTCTGTTGCCCGCTCGTCTTCCCACCTTGTCTTGTCCTTGTCTTGTCTCTTCGTTCTCCTGCCCTTTCACCCACCTCTTCCCCTCAGCTACTCTCAGACACTTCGTCCCTCCCTCCACCGTTTCACCCACTCCTCTCCAATTACATCACCTTCCTCTTTCCCTTCCTATCTCCACCCCCTCTTTCCCCCTTTTTCCCCTCTTTCCTCCTCTTGTCTCCTCTTGTTCCTCCCCTCTTTCCCCCCCCCATCCCCCACCAGTGGCCGGGTTGGAGTGCCTGGTGTCTTTCCCGCCGTCCTTCTCCCCTCTCTCCCCCGCGCTCCTCTCTCAGGCTGCTGCTCTCCTCACGCATTCGCTCATCCACCTGCCGCTCCCCCCTGCCCACCATGCCGCCGCCACCACCACCACCACCCACTCTTCCACCGCCCACACCACGGCACCGCAGCATCCCAGCAAGACCAGCAGCAACCCCCATGCCTCCCTCCTCCTCGCCACTCCAAGTGCCCCCACCAGCTCTCCCGCATTGCCCCCACAGCCATTCTCCCCGGCCCTCCCGCCCCCCACGCCCGCATTCGCCCGCTGCCTGCTGCGCGCCCTCTCCTGCCTTGCCCACGCCGAGGCCGGGTGGGGGGGCGCAGAGAGGGGCGAGGGGGGCGAGGAAGGCGCGGAAGAAGGGGGGAGAGCAGGAGGGGAGGGCAGTGGTGGTGGATGCGGTGAGGGTGATGGGAGTGGGGAGGAGGAGGACAGCATGAGTGTGAGGGAGGTGGTGCTGCCGCTGCTGGCAGTAGTTGGGGAGGAGGTGATGGGGGGGGGCTCTGTGGGGGCAGAGGATACAAGTGGCGGGGAAGCGGAGGAGACAGGGGCGGAGAGGGGGAGCACGGAGGGGGGGGACGCAGGGCGAGTGATGGTGTGTGGGGAGGTGCTGGCAGCGGTGGCGGGGGAGGTGGCAGCAGCACGGCACGTGGTATTGCCTGCCCTCTCTGGCCTCGCCCTCCGCGCCTGCTCCGCCCACCCCATCGTACAGCTCTCCACCCTACTAGAACCATAACTGCGTGTGATGCATGTGCTGGTTCGCTTTGGCGGGTTCTCGACCCACATTTCGGCTTGCTGATGATCATGTGTGGATCCGTTTTCCGCTTCTTCTCTCCTCACCAATTGCGTTTTCCAGCTCTTACCTTTGCATCCATGTACCCCATCCACCTCCCTCCTCGCATCCACACCCCTCCAGCCAGGGTGTCAGCACGAGCCAATTATCGCACTGCTTCAGATCCTCTCCACTCGCCTCATTCCCTTGTAAGCCCTCCGTCCACACGCTCTGCCCACTCACCATCCTCTTTCGCTTACACTTGAGGCCCATGCCCTGCCTGCCATTTCACGTGCCTATCCTGCTCTGGTCTGCAAGTGTACCGCCAGTGCAATTGCACTATGTGCTCACTCCTCTTTCACACCCCACAATCCCCCATCACTCCATCCACCAGGTGTGACGACACCCGCCCCTCCGACTCCTCCTTTCTGTGCAACCATGCCACGGCTCTTTTCCGTGCTTTCACCCACAGCCCCTCCTCCTCCCCCACCTTCCCTCCCTCCGCGTCACCCACTCCTCCACCCGCCACTGATGCGGCCCTGCTGGCAGCAGCATGTGCCACACTCACTGTTGCCGCCCACCGCTGCTCCCACTCCCACCAGCTCGCCCTCCTCTCCTCCCTCGCCCCTCGCCTGCGCCTCCTCACACCCTCCTCTTCCTCTTCCTCCTCCACCCCATCATCCACGCACCCTGCTCCTGCACCCGCACCTCTTGCTACCGCCCTTACCATGTGCACTGAGGAGCCTATGAATCGCCTCATAGCCGCACTGCTGGTGGGCCTGCGCCCACCGTTGCTCGCTGCAGACGCCACTCCCACCACTCCCACAACTCAAACCGCGCTCTCAGCAGCTCAGGAGAAAGAGGGCCCCTCACAGGGCGAGCACACGGAGGGAAAGGAAGGCGTCACTGGTGCAGCAGGCGTAGACCACATGGCTCTGCTGCAAGGCCTCTTGCGCCATCTCTCCCTCGTTGCCACGTCATCGCCCGCTCTCGTGTCTGCTGACTCAGCAGAGGCTGCCAGCGTGGCAGTGGCCTCGCTCGTCAATAAGTGGCTCAAGGAGGGGAGGAAGGTTCCAGGAAGCAGTGGGGTGTGGTCGGTGGATGAGGTGTTGCAGGTGGTGCTGGGGGAGGTGCTGGGGATGGAAGGGGGAGGAGAGGCAGAGGGAGGAGGGGAGGTGAGGGGGGGTGGGTGGGAGGGGCGTGTGGGAGTGAGGCGGGTGCGACTGCTGGCGTGGGTGGGGTGGGCAGTGGCAGCGAGAGGCCATGCGAGCATGGCACGGGTGGCTCATGCGTTGCTGCAGGCTGCCATGGGAGAGAAGGGTGCGGTGGAGAGCGAGGAGAGGCTGGAGGGGGATGCAGGGGAGAACGGAGAGGAGGGTGAGGGAAAAGTGGGAGGTGCGGAAGGGGGGCGCGAGGCAGCAGTGAGTGCAGTGGGGGTGGCAGCAGCGGAGGGGTTTGGAGTGGTGATGGGGCAGGATGCGCAGTGGCTGACCTCCCAGTGCCACTGTGTGTGCCGCCCGCTCTACCAGCAGCGCTTCCTCTCCGCCTTCCTGCCCGCCCTCGCCACCTCCCTCCCCCACATGCCACCTTCTTCAACTTCCCAGTCCCGCAGGTGTGCTCCCATGCTCGCACGCGCACCTGCCTCCCTGCTGCTCTCTGCTCTCATCGTCCTGTGTGCCCATCACTGCTGCCACCTGCACTCGCATCCCACCCTTCGTCTTTTCTTTCACAACATTTCCTCTCCTTTCCCAGCACTCATTGTTCTCCCCTCTCCCCGTTTCGTCTGCTTCGCTACCCACTCCCCTCCCAGAGCCCAGTGTCTGAGAGCATTCACTCACACCGTCGCCAACGCCCCACCTGCCGCGCTGCTCCTCTCCGCCCCGCAGGTCGGCTCATTCCTGTATACCCGTCACATGTTTAAATCCCATACTGCTCCCCTGCTCCGTTGTTCCCATGCCCGCAGCACATACCCCACTGCCCTCTCCTCACTACATTGCCGCCCCTCCCTGTCAACCCCTCCTTTCTCTCCGCCCCTGCGCCCATCAGGTGCTGCCGCTGCTGCTCTCGGCACTCGCGTCCCTCTCACCCCACCGCATCGACTCTGATTGCCTGCACTCACTGCTGCTGCTGCTCGCCTCCTTCGCCACCTCGCAAGGCAAAGGTGTGTGCCCGCCTTGTGCTTGTGACTGGGGAGCAGCAGGGCGGTGTCGCATGGCACATGGCACATGGCAGGCGTGTGCATGCACGAGAGATGCCCATGAGAGCGTGGATGCACATCACCCACGAGAGCGTGCTGGGTTGGTGAACATGAGATAGAGAGAGTAGATGCCGTGCCTTGAAAGAGGCTCTTTCTTGCCCCTGGCTAGCTGCGCTTCCCTCTCAATGGGCCCCTTCCCTCTCAATGGGCCCCTTCCCACCCTCCCTCTCACACTGCTCTTGCTCCCATCCCCCACCCCCCACCCCCCCCTTCCCCAACCCCATCAGCGAGGGACCTGTGTGGGCAGCACCTCACCACCATTGTCACCACGCTCCTCGCCCTCGTCTCCTATCCGCACTCCATGGTGCCTTGCCCATTCCACACTCTATTACCCTAACCATGCAATCGTGTCCCACGTAGTTCCATGCCCATGCCAATCATATTGCTTTCCCTCGCTGTGCCTTGGAACCCTGCTGCACGGACCCCTTCTATCAACTTCTCCTCGCCTCACCCCCCGCCTCCCCACGCCATTCGTTCCACCCTGCACTCCGCCTGTTTCCAATTTCCTTCTGCTCCGCTCTCCACCAAACCACCCCCAAATCACCCCCCGTGAGGCAGGAGGTGCGGGAGACGGCAGTGCAGAGCCTCACAGCGCTGGCAGCGCTGCCGCACACACAAGTGTTCCCCCATCGCGCCAAGGTGGGTGCGTGGGACAGGTGCTGGGCTGTGAAGTGTGCTTGCTGTGTTGGGAGTAGACGCTTAGCAGCAGAGGGAGTTCCATACAGCAATGGAAAGCCTTGAAAGTGAAGAGCATACCTGATATATGAGAGTCCATGTGGAAGGGGAGGAATGGGGGGTGCCGCAATGTGGTTGCTCTCATCATTACCTGCTGCCATGCTCCCCACCCCAAACCGCTCATCCAGGTGCTGAGAGCAATGGACGGGTGTCTGGATGATCCCAAGCGGGCAGTGCGACATGCTGCTGTCATGTGCAAAACCACTTGGTGCGTTGCGTTGCGTGACTTGCTGCTTCTTTCTCAATTGTTTTGTTTCTGGAATTTATGGTCCCTCTGATGTGCAACGCAGCGTTCGTGTGGTTCTTCAGTTTCAGCTCCCCTGTTTGTTTATGCACCACGTGTCTTTTTCAATTGTGCAGGTCGGGTTTGAGATGATGATCAATGTCATTTTCGCGGGTGTATTGTTTGCAATCGCCCCCACATCGGTATTTTGAGCAGAAACAAATCGGGGCTTCAGTCATTTAGATTGGGCTTTTATGTTTTGTGAAGCGTTCCAATATAGCAGTACCATTTCTCTAGTTCTACCAGCTTTTCAAATTTTCAATAAGGCGTACGTCAGAAGAGAGCCCAGCCGTCGGTTTCTTTCGCGAGCATTCGCATTTTTCCCGACTCCTCTCCAACCTCGCGTCATACCCCGAGCACACCACCCCCTCCGCAACCTCCCTCCACCTTCGTCGCCGTTCCCGCCGCCTCGCCGAAGCGCGTTACGCCATTCACATTCCGCCGCGCGCAGGTCAGCGCCGCTAGCGCGATGACGGAGGGCCTTCCGCCGCCGCAGAACGCGGTGGATCCGACAGCGGCGGTGGCGGCGGGGGCGGCGGCGCTGGAGGCGGAGCTGCTGGACGTGCTAGACGACAAGGGCCAAGCCACGGGCGAGGCACTTCCGCGGTGAGCCTCGCGCCGCGCGCCCGTCCGCTGCCTCTTGCTCGCTTGCCCCTCTGGTGAATCCAGGCCGCCATTCTTTCCCCGTCGCGTGTCGCGGCGCTGCTAGCGCGCCCGTCTCCCACCCCCACCACACTTCGTCCAACCCGCGCGCCAGCGCGTTCCCCCACATCCCCCGCCTTTCCCTCTCTCCCCCTGCCCGCAGCGGCGAGGTGCATAGGCGCGGGCTGTGGCACCGCGCGGTGCACACGTGGGTGTTCGCGGAGCGGGGCGCGGAGCTGCTGCTGCAGCGGCGCGCGGCGCACAAGGAGTCATGGGCCGACATGTGGGACGTGTCTAGCGCCGGCCACGTCACCACCGGCTGCTCCTCCTTCCTCACCGCCCAGTGCGCGCCACCTCCCATGCCCGCACGCCGTCTCACGCCCCTGCCATGCCCCGCCTCGTTTTATGCCCCGACTCGCCATTCGCCTGTGGTCGTCTCGCTCTGCCTGCCCCTGCCCCGCCTCCCACACTCACCTTGCTCGCTCCCATCCCCCAACTCCCTACCTCCCCCCCATCATGGCAGGCGGGAGATGGAGGAGGAGCTGGGGCTGTCGCTGCCGGAGTCCGCCTTCAAGTGGCTCTTCCAAGACACCTTCCAGTCGTCCGTGCCGGCCCCCGCCCTTTTCACCCTCTCTGCTCCCGGTGTTTCGCCTCGCTCTGATGTGCTGTGTGCTGCTCCCCGTGCTTGCATTACCAACCTGCACTGCTCGATTATCCCACCATCACTTTGCACCTCATTCACCACCTCATTCCACCTCACTGTCATCCTCCGTGCACGTGCCGTGCAGAGTGCTCAAGGGGGGCACGTACATAAACAATGAGTTTAGTGACGTCTACCTCATCACCGTGCCAGATCCGCTCCCCCTCTCCGCCTTCACACTGCAAGTATGTGCCATCCACAAGGAGCAATGTGCATCTGCACAGCCCACCTGCCCCTTCCCTCCACTTCACCTGCTCGTCCTCTCCACCTATCGTGTCGTCTATTGCATCCCCTGTTGTGCTGGCCCCCTCTCGCGTCCCTGCATGCGCACCTCTTGGCTGCACCCCACACTCTCACTACTCCTCCCCACACCCTTGTCTCCAACTGCCAGGAGTCGGAGGTAGCGGAGGTGAAGTGGGTGCCATGGAGGGACTATGAGGCCTCTCTGCGCGCTAGGGACCCTCACTACGTGCCCTTTGATGTAGAGTCGCCCAATGGCTACCGGCAACTGTTCACACACCTTGAGAAGCTATCTGCGCCCTCGTAGGCTCCGCGCCGGAATCACTTTAAGCGTGTTGTATGATGGGTTAATATATGCAGGCCTTAGCAACCTTATAAGCACACGACGATTCAGGTTCTGCATTTTGTAGCAGTAATACGATGGAAAAGCATGGGTTCACCAATCGAGCGGAGTGCATTTATTTCATCTTTTCCCAGCGATATTCTGCATTTCCCGCCAGTTTCTATTGCCCTCGTATCACATTTCTGACCATTTCGCGTTCGCCTCGTATTATCACCTGTGACACACGCCCAGCCATGGCTTCCGCCAATTGCAGCGTCGCCGCCTCTTCCCTGCACCTCTCCTGCTCCACTCGTCAATCCGCGTTCGCGTCTCTCGCGTCCCCCGCGCCCTCCGCGCATCCCGCGGCCCTCGCCGCCCTCTCCTCACTCGCCGCGTCTCGCCGAACCGCTTCTCTGCCCGTCCCTGCTCTCGCGGCACCGCGACAACACCGTCCTTCGCGCGCCCGTCGGGCTGTACGCGTTATGGCGAGTCAAAGTGAGCCCGCATAGATCAGCCGTGCTCTTGCTCGTGGTCGCACGGAAACGCATTGCTATGTTCGCAAGCGAACGTCCATCTGCCGCGCTCCCATTCGACTCGCGCGTACTGTCGCCATCGCCACTCCACCACGCATTACGCCATAAAGCGATCGCTTTTCGCACGGTCTCTCGCGATCGGCTCCCTCACAATCATTCCGCGCCTCCCGCGCTGCCTCCGCATCGCCCCTGCCTTCCGTCCGCGCCCTCCCTTGCAGGCGAAAAGCGCGCGCTCATTTCAGTCTCCGATAAGACGGGACTCGATACGCTCGCCAAGGGGCTGCTGGATCTCGGGTACGCGCGGGGCAGGGCGGCACCGCCTCTTGGTGCGGCGAGGTTCAGGGCTTTTCGCGAACGCGCATGCAAATTCGCGCACATTTGCTTGTCGCTTCCACGCCGCCGTCTACTCGTAAGCCATCCGCTCCCCTTCACCTCACCATTCATCCGCTCTCCTTCCTGTTGACTTCGGCATCCCCCCTCTCCCTCTCTCCCCTCTCCCACCCCCTCTCTTTCTCAACGGCTGCGACGCTTCCTGGCAGCTTCACGCTGGTGTCGACGGGCGGCACAGCGAAAGCCATCGAGGAGGCGGGGCTGCCCGTGACTACCGTGGATCAGATCACCAACTTTCCCGAAATGGTAAGCTTGCCAAATATGGCACTCCGTGAAGGATAGTTCAACCAGAAAGTGGGCCTTGCGGACGAATTCAAAAGACAACATTGCTATTTCCCCAAGGTGTTGACTTTCAGACTCACTCACACTCACATTCGCATGACAGCTTTCCTTCCCTTCCCCACCCTCCACTCTCCTCCCGCACTCGTGGTTGCTCCACCCACTTCACCACTCCCCTCTCCGTCACGTCACCCCCTACCCCCGTTACCCACTGCTCACTCCCATACACCACTAAGCTCCCTACTCTTTACCGCCCACCATCCATCCTGCTTCTGTCTTCCTGTCCACCCCCCCCTTGTCGCCCTCCCTCTCGCTGCGTGCGCGCCACGTGTCCCCTGCTGCCAGCTGGACGGGCGAGTGAAGACGCTGCACCCAGCGGTGCACGGAGGCATTCTGGCTCGCCGTGGTCTCCCCGCGCACATGGACGCCCTCGCTGCCCACAACATCGGTGCGCCCCCCCCCCTCCCCCCCTCCCCCCCTCCCCCCCTCCCCTCCTCTCCCCCCCCCCCCTCCCCTTCCCCACCGCTTGCCCCCCTTTCCTGCTACCTTGATCTCCTGCACTGTACCATGCCATGCCCTGCCAATCCCCATTCCTTCCCCCTCTCCCGCTCCTCCCCCCACCAGGCGCCATAGACGTGGTAGCAGTGAATCTGTACCCGTTCGTGCCTCACATCCCATGTGCCCCCCTCTATCTCCTCCTCACCAGGCCCCATAGACGTGGTGGCAGTGAGCCTGTACCCGTTTTTGGCGACGGTGACAGCGCAGGGAGGCGCGCCCCTAGAAAAGGGCCTTACATCCCATGTCCCCCCCCCACTTCCACACTCATCTCTTCCCTCCACCAGGCCCCATAGACGTGGTGGCGGTGAATCTGTACCCGTTTGTGGCGACGGTGACGGCGCAGGGCGGGGCGTCATTCGAGAGGGGCATTGAGAACATCGACATCGGTGGCCCCACCATGATCCGCGCCGCTGCTAAGGTGGGGGGGGGAGGGAGGGAAGCGGGAGGGGGGTGTGGCAGCGTGAGGGGGCACTGCACGGGGAGGTGTGAGGATTGTTTAGTTGACTCAAAGCGGGGCATTGAGAACATCGACATTGGCGGACCACCATGATCAGCGCCGCTGCTAAGGTGGGGGGAAAACAAGAGGGAGGGGGAGGGGGGAGAAGGTGGGGAAGGGGGAGGTTGGGAAAGAGAGGGAGGGTAGGGGGAAATGGAAGTTGTGAGAAAGGCAGCGGGTTTTGAAGAAAGTAGGGCTTGACATGGTCACCTGTGATTTCACTGGCTCGCTTGCCCATGCTTCACTGGTCTCCCCGGGCGCTCATCCTCATCCCATCCTCATCCTCATCCCATCCTCATCCCCCTTGATATCAGAACCACGAGAACGTGTGGGTGGTCGTGGACCCCGCTGACTACACCTCGCTGCTGGCCGCGCTCAAGGGGGACAAGGCCGAGGGCGAGGGCGAGGGCGAGGAGGCGTTGAGGAGGCGCCTGGCGTGGAAGGCGTTTCAACACACGGCGTCGTATGATGCTGCCGTGTCCGAGTGGCTGTGGCCGCACGCCCAGCCCAAGACGGATGGTAAGTGCGGGGGCATGGGCGCGTGGGGCACACTCTTGCTCGTTCCCATGCTTGCGTTGAATGCATTCACACGCGCGTGCCACTGGACTGCGCACACACACACGTGTGCTAATGCTCATGCGTCTGTGCACTGCACGCCCCTTGCCATGCACATGATATCAGCTGCACATACCACCATGCCTCACACCTGCACTCTCATCACCCTCCGCTCCTCTCCTCCTCCCCTTTCCACCCCGGCCCCCCTCTCGACCGCTGCAGAGTTCGCCCCGCCGCCAGCCCTCGCAGTGCCGCTGACGCTCTCTGCAGTGCTGCGGTACGGCGAGAACCCCCACCAGCGTGCCGCCTTCTACAGCGATGACTCGCTGGGGGAGCGCGGCAAGGGCGGCATTGGCAGTGCTGTGCAGCACCACGGCAAGGTGGGGGGAAAGTGGGGCGAGGTGGGGAAGCAGGTGGGGGGATGCGTTGTGCAGTGTGCATGGTGCACTGCCGATGCAATGAGAAGGCGTCATTTGAGAAAGTGTGATTGGGAAATTTGTAGTGAGAAGGTGTCATTCGGGACGAAATTTCCCTGCCCTGCAACTATCATTCACACACACAACTCAATGCAGCATTCTCTGCTGCCCTTCATCACGCATCCATTTTCTCTCCATGCACCCCACCCACCTCCCTATTCCCCCCCTGCCAGGAGATGTCATACAACAACTACCTGGACGCGGATGCGGCCTGGCAGTGCGTGTGGGAGATGCCCACAGCAGCCTGTGTGGTCGTCAAACACACCAACCCCTGCGGCGCCGCCACCGTCACCCTCCCCGCCTCCGCCGCCCCAGAAGAGCAAGAAGCAGCCCTCCTCGAGGCCTACCGTGCCGCCGTCCGTGCCGACCCTGTCAGCGCCTTCGGCGGCATCGTGGCCTTCAACCGCCCGGTAACCGCCGCCCTCGCACGCGAGCTGAGGGAGTTTCGCTCCCCCACGGACGGCGAGACGCGCATGTTCTACGAGATCGTGGCGGCGCCGGGGTACACAGAGGAAGGGCTGTCAGTGCTGAAGGGGAAGAGCAAGGCGCTGCGCATTCTGGAGGCGCAGGCGAGCAGCAAGGGCAGGCGGTCGCTGCGGCAGGTGGGGGGCGGGTGGCTGCTGCAGGACTCGGATGACGTGGATGCCAGTGACCTCACGCTCACTGTGGTGACTAAGAAGCAGCCCAGTGAAGCTGACCTGGAGAATGCGCGGTTTGCGTGGCAGGTGGTGAAGCATGTGAAGAGCAACGCCATCACCATCGCCAAGGTACCCCTGCCCTCGTCCCCTACCCTCTTCCCTGTTCTCACCTTCGGCTCTCACCCGCTTGCCCTCGCCTCGCTGCTTGCCCTCACTTCCTTCTTTGCCGTACTGTGCGTTCATCTCTCCACCCCCTCAGCAGCTTCTTCATTCCTAACTCACAAGCCCTCCTGCCATCCTTCCCTGCCTTGCTCTCTCCTCGCCTCTTTTCTCCCCAGGACGGGCGGCTGCTGGGCATGGGCAGCGGGCAGCCCAACAGGGTGAAGAGTGGGCAGATTGCGTTGGAGAAGGCAGGCGAGGAGGCCAAGGGCGCTGCTGTTGCCAGCGATGCCTTCTTCCCCTTCGGTCAGTGCCACCACGCCTGCTGGGGTGATACATATCACTGCCTGCCCGACTTCCTTTCTTTTCGTTCTTGTTTCCCTGCAGCAATTGTTTTGCTTCATATGCGCAATTCCCCTCACGTGCCTTTTCTCTCAACTTCCGTTTCCCCCATCACTCCTCCACCACTGCTGCCCATCTACCAGCATGGGGCGATGCAGTGGAGGCGGCGTGTGAGGCGGGGGTGTCAGTGATAATCCAGCCGGGCGGCAGTGTGCGGGACCAGGATGCCATTGACTGCTGTGACAAGTACGGTGTGGCCATGGTCTTCACCAACGTGCGCCACTTCCGCCACTAGCGCTCATTCAACCCCACCACCACTGCCTGCACTTATGCACGCGTGGTGGCTGGATTCAAGAAACAGCTGAGTGAGGTGCAAGCAAGGCGAGGGCTTGATGGAACTCTTGGCAGAGGGAAGGCTGTGTGGCGCGTGTGCTAGATGGTAGACTCTTGTGTCCACACGCTCATATATTGTGCAAGGCGGCCTGTCTGCTGTTGGACAGCCTTCCAGTTTGCTTGTCTATGTCCCAAGGGAGAATTGTGCCAGCCAAGTAGGCTGTCC